AAGACTTGCTGAATAAATGATACAAACTCATTTACATAGAGATCCTTGGTATCTAATTAATTCGGTGCATTGTTTAGCTGTCGGCGGCAAAGTGCGCCCATTTCAAAAGGAAATCCACAAATCGTTAATGAGCGTTTAAATGTCGGCATTAGAGAGTGTGAGAACGACCCACAAAGCATCCGCCTGTGGGCTTCGCGTGGCATTCACGCACAACACTTAATGTGCTTACACTTTACGTCAATAAAGACATTGTATGACAATCTTTCTTTACGTGATCTTTAACATTAAATTCGCATTAATTTGCTCCATGTCCCGACATACGCTGTCTTGTAATGGTATATAAATGTGCCGACAAATCATCACCATGCATTGTTGTTTCCTTTTACACTATAGTTATCTCGATAGTTTGAAACCACTGGCAGTGTAATTTTTTTAATGAAGATCATTTAATCATGAAAATGTATCATTACAAAAAAACACTATATTCAAAATGACACTGCAGTTATATTAATTTTGTATTAAAATTTTCTTAATCAGAATAAAAATTGCAATTTGGATGCAACTGCGAGATTTTGCTGCCTTTTAAAATCAGCATATATTTGCATGACACAAACCATATTTGTACATAAGACCAGTTCAATTGGAATCTGCAACAACTTTGCTAAAAATCTGCATATCACCTGGGTCTTAACGGACATCAGATACGCTTCTATTAATTAATTGACTGATATGTAGTTTAATTCTAATATTGAGTGTGAGGTCAAATGCAATTACTCGGAAAATGACATGCCACATACAATTTGCACAAACGTTTAATAATTGCATTGAATCTAAAAACAGTTATGGTGTTCGGTTATGCCTCATTATAACCAGAATGCATACGGCACTTATATGCTGCCTGATGATGAGCACCAAAACATCATCACACCTCCTGGCTTTGACATTCCACAAAGACACTGGTTTACCATCAACCGCGTCAGAACATCAACTGGCCGATGTACACATCTTCATGAATTCTAAAGTAAATACAAGCCACAGTCTGATTGTTGCCATGCATTGCAAACTATGGACTATACAGTAAATCGCTGTGGTCTGCGCTTCTTCAATGGAGAAACGGTAAAACTACAAGACTTCTCTCCTGAAGCTCTCTCATGACTATCAGGCTTCCATATTGGCGTTTAACTTCGGAACATATTGCCATATTCAAGAAAAGAAGAAGCAAAGTATTGACGGTAATATAAAAAAGATGTTGCTTAAAATGTGTTTTATTGCATACAGTAAACATTTCTAAATGCTGAAGAATAGTAGCACACCAACCTAATTTGTGTTGTTAACTAACGACTATTGGTGGGCTTTGATTACGTTTTGTTTATGATCAACTTTAGCATCACACTCTTAGAGTTATTGAAAATGTTACGTTTGTCTTTCGCACCATTCAAAATCTAAACGTGAAACTCAAAGGTCCACAAATGAAAGCGTTTAAAATATTTTCATCCAGCAATTTTGAGAGGAACCAAACTCCACAGTTTTGGTCTTAGGATTTTAAAATATTTAAACTTAAAGCCCTATAAAACTTCCAGATGCTAACGTCTGTGAGCTAATGCGAGAAAAAAAGAATTCACAAAATTTTGGGTGCACCAAACAGATCAGCTACATCGCCCTTCTAGAACCTAAATTATAATTTACATCAGTTCCTCACTCGGTTAAGTCTGGATATATTAAAAAATGTTGGTGTACAACAGTTCAACGTCAATGTTTTATGTACATTTTGCAATCCTTTAATTCACACTATATGGACATATTTGTGTCCGCTAGTTCTCAAGATACAACTTTAATTGAAGCCAGTTAATATAGAAACATGTGGTTGCAGTTTACGCGTTTTCAGCATTTATGCTGACACTTATGTAATTGTTTGCATATAAAAGTAATTACGCTTAATGTTTCATTTCCAAAGCACTAATTGCAGCATAATCATTAAGTGAGCAGCTTATTATATTTAGATGAAAATAACATACACTGTATGCTATTTCGAAAATTTAGTTTTCCTTGGTTTGCAAAAGCCAAAACACAGATCATCATGAGGTACAGTCTTACCTTTGTAATAATAATTAGAGTTTATTTGAGATGTCATAGCCGACTTGTGGATGTGTTATTCAGTTTTACCGACTCGAGCAATAACATTTTATTTGGAAAATGGTTTTGCACAAATATTGTAGGGAAACTGATTTTTTTGGCAATGGCCCTTCATTCTTGAAAGCCCATTCATTGCCCTTCATGTCGAGTTATTTTTTTACTCTTATTAGTGCTTGTGCTTATTAATCTGTATGGCTTCATGAACGAATCTTTGCTGATAGCCAGTGGGCTTGCAGATTACCCTCGTTTTGGCAAAATAAATTTCGTGTATGCCCACAGCGTTAAAACAATGATCAGCCACGGCTGAGGTATTGGTCCTACCGTGTTTCAGATCTGCCTCATGTTCACGAACCCGGTCCGAGACATGTCGCTTAGTTTCCCAAATGTAACTGCTGCCGCAGACACAGCTTAGTTTGTAAACACCGGGGTATTGCATGTCAGGGATCACATCCTTCACAGATGGGATCAAATTACCATTTGTGAAGGATGTGATCCCTGACATGAGGCAGATCTGAAACACAGTATGACCAATACCTCAGCCATGGCTGATCATTGTTTTAACGCTGTGGGCACACACGAAGTTGATTTTGCGAAGAGGAGGGTACTCTCCAGGCCCACTGGCTATCAGCAAAGATTCGTTCATGAAGCCATACAGCTATATAAGCACAGACACAATTTCAACCGAGAAGATGGGTACAAACTGAGCAATCATTGGAAGGACGTTATTAACCGGTTTTAGGTCATAACTGGCTGTGATGTTCCCTCCCTACCTACCTATGTTAGCAGTTATTTTCGACTCTCTGAGTTACATTCACAAACACAGCCACCGTTGGCTGTGTTAGTAAATAGCGGACTGCCATCCTTGTCCACCACCATGTGGCGATGGCTTTTTCAGAGCTCTCTCCGAGCTTACATTTACAAGCAAATGTCGTACATCGACATGCTAATCTCTCACAATACAATGACCACCCCCACAGCTTCGTTTGTCAAGATTTCTCCTATCTTACATTTACATGCAAATTTCATCTCTAGCCCCGCCCACTGACCCTTGGGCTACACCGATCTCAAACCTTTATAACTCCCTGTCTTAGCAGTGCTCCCACCATATATTCTCAGCAGCTCCCTCGCTATATTTTTTCACCTGATGACGATTGCTTGTGTTACGATCGAAACGTCATGATATTGTTATTTGTATTTTGTATTATTTGAATTATTTGTTCTATCTACGTGGCTTTACCGAAAGACCCAAAGAATATGAATTCCTGCAGTCACGAAAGCTTTAAGTCAAGATCACCAAATAATGTTTAACGGGAATGAAATCAGCTCGTGTGCAAGTGCTATAGGTGGTTTGCAGCATCGCAGGATCATAAGCGATGGCAGCAGCCTGCATCCAGCCGTGGACTGACCCTGGCATAATATAGGAAAAAAATCTGTCTAAATTGGATGAGGAACAACGTTTTATCTATACCTGAAAAAGTTGCTATCATGGCAGGTGCCTAAATACATGACTCATCTATGCCACTGGTTTATAGTGGAGGTATCTTGCCTACATAAGGTGTGAAAACAGAGGTGATGTCCTCAGCAAATCTGATACGAGCCTAGCTCCCGTTTCTGATACCTATGAAATGCAGCACGCTCATGAGGTGCACGTAAGATTTGTATGAATAACCCCGTTCGGTGTACGAGTGACTATGCTGTGACTGCAAACCATGCTTGTGTCACTATGTTAGTTTGCATATAGGTCTAGCATCAGGTACTGCCATATCAATAAATTCATGTTCTCATATCCAGGCCTATGACTGTACTTTGAAGACCAACAATTACCTATGAAAATAATTAACATTTTAAATTAATGTAAAAAAACTGGATAGAAAGAGTTTGTTTTACCCTAAAAGTTAATTGTTTATCCTCACACATTATGAGATGAACTTTTACATTTCCCATGCCAAGCCGAAATGATCAATATACAAAATGCAAGCAGCGTGACAACTTTATGCCATCGAGGCATTGACAGAACATGTGCGCTTATGACCCAGTTGCTGGGGAAGAAAGAATGAAAGGCTCTTTACAAGGATACTTGTGCTAACCTTGTAATAGCCAGACAATCAGGTGTGCACTCTGTTTGGAATGCTTTCATAGAAACAGCTTGCCATATCTCACACTTCAGACGTTCTCAGTGGAGCCTTTGCACCTAAAAAAGGTCCACGTAATTGGGGAGGCTGTATCTTGAACTACTTTATACATGCTTTTTAAAAGCACAATTAAATATAATATTTCCAACCGTGTATTGCCACTACAAATTTCACAATTGGTGTTTTTGTTCCAGATTTTGTCGATAAAAGGTACAAACTGATTGATTTGAAACTAGGTTAAAGTTTGGAGTGATATGACATTGCTTTCATCAGGAGTTTCAACTACGCACGTGAATTTTAATCTGCACATGTATTCAACTGCATAAATACGATGCAAATCATCATCACGTGGAGTTTTATTTTGTATGGCATTTTACACACACACATTCTCCTCCAATGATAGCTTCCTGTAAAAAAAAGAATGGATTTCAATTAAATAGAGCAATAACGCTAGTAAACATTGCTCAAAAGCGATGTCTTGCCAACGCATAGTTCTAAGCTTTGTTTGATAAATAAATCAAATTAATAAGGTAACTTGAGAATGGGGTAGAGCAGTATCAAAGAGCACCTTTTTAAGACAGGTTTCAAGCAATTGAAGCCAACAGCCGCGCATCTTAATTAACCCCTCTGTATAGACAGTGAGAAGGGGTCAGGCACCCCGCCGTGTGCTCCACAAGTCTTTAGAAAGTATTTAAACTGTCATGCACGTTCGTCACCAACATTTAATGACGGCGTACACGCGGCGCCGGCCACACGCTCGATTGTTTCATCCGTCCCTGCCTCTCTGCTTGCCGAGCAAATTTCTCTTTAATGGAACAAATGACATTCGAATTTGATCCCGACTCAATCGGACATTTCTCCTTTCTCCAGAACGAGGGCCATCGTGCCCAGCACGAGCTCGACGGCTCTGACACCGAACCCTGCTGCTCCTTGCGGCCGTGGCATTCCTTCAGCCGCGACGGTGGCTCCGTCTCTGGCGTGGCCTCGCGGGCCTTCCATGAGGACCTTGCCTCGTTGCCCGGGGAGGACACCAACCACCGCGAGGGCGCTGCTTTGTCCGCAGGCGGCGGCGTAGGCGACGGCGGTGCCCGGTGCCCCGCGAGCGTCCTCTACCCGCCCGCGCTCACGCACCAGCCCTACGAGGTGCAGCGCACGGCTGCCAATGTCCGCGAGCGCAGGCGGATGCTGAGCATCAACTCGGCGTTCGAGGAGCTGCGCTGCCACGTGCCGACCTTCCCGTACGAGAAGAGGCTGTCCAAGATCGACACGCTCCGCCTTGCCATCGCCTACATCGCCCTCCTCCGAGATATCCTCCTTTCGGACACCGACCCCAAAGCCTACGTCGACCGGTGCATCAGAAAAGGCCATCCCAACAGCAGCAATGCACTTTGGAATACCAGCGGTATGCATGCATTTTTCTTTGAACAGTTCACACATTTTTTTTTTATCTGTGGAAAGTACACGTACTCTGAAGATGAGTCCACTGTGTATAACATATGACAATTGTCAGAATGTTTTTTTGTTTGTTTCAGTAGTATGTGTAAGTTATGTTATATTTTACTCCCTGCATAATCTCAATGATTGAAGGATTAGATTGGAAGATCTGTGTGTGCCTCGTCTCATTCACCCAATGGCTATGTGGCATTCATATTTAATGCTGTAGTGTTATTGTAAGAGCATTAATCTTCTAAAGCTTCTCTTGTTACTGCTGGACGTATATGATATAAACACATGAATATGGTAAGAAGGCTCTTTCAAGTTTTATGTGGATACGAGTCATTCTATTGGCTCAATTATATATTTCAAATAAAATAAATGTGGAGATGGTCACTGAAAAAAGGTCATTAACCAACAATTCCTGTGCTTCCAGAAGTGTTCACATTCTACTGCACTATTCTCAGTACCACTTAAACCTATTTCTCATAAATGCACGTTCAAAATATTAGTTCCCGTACGCATTGCCTGGAATGCTCACTGCAGTGACACACCGACGATGCACTTGTTTTCTCAGATCTGACGGCACGGCTGTCCTGGATAAAGTGGAATTAGGGGAACCGCGTCCGTGGTTGATTTGACCTCCACCCCGCGTTTCCCAGCTGTGCGTTCCCACGGCCCACCCTGCTCCTGCTCACTCACTCCACACGCCACACATCCACGGGCAAAGTGCTGGCACAGCCCCGGGGTGGTGTGGCGAACAACGTCAATGCTTCACGGCTTTACACGGGATGGTGCCTGCGAGCACAGATTCACCGTGTACACCAAGAACATTCCTCCTGTTGCTCAACTTGTATCTGTGTAAACATGCGTTTGACTAATCCCATACGTAGACTTTCACAGCCAATATTCCGATTCCTAATCGGTTTCTTTTGGGTTATGTATGTCAGTATGTGCGTATGCTGACTTTCTTTCGCACCGTACGTAGCCAACCGTGCTAATCAGATGCAATGTCAATCGGAGTTATAAACCTCCACTACCCGACAAGACCAAACAAATTAAGTTGTCGCAAGGACCCAGATCAGGAAACGCTCTTGTCAACATTCTCTTTGCTTTTCAACATGTCTGCTTGCTGAAAAACTAAATCAAGTGGCACATTAGCCCACGTAACAACTGGATTTGTTTGGCGTTGTCGGGTGGCGGAGGATGATAACTCAAAATGAAAATGATATCTTCACGCTCAAACTCAAAATAAAAGAAATATGAATAACGCTGCTTAGCTATTATACAAGTGATGTATGTGTTGTCATATCTTGTAGTTGTTAGCCTGCCACAAGGTACCATTATCTGATAGCGGAGTATCAACATGATCAATTCTTATCTTAACATGTTATCGTTACGATAACATAAGGTTCTATTGTTCCATTTTGAATAGAATACACGCAGGATATTTAAGTATTAAATATTGGTTTTCACTTGCCTCTTTTCCTAAATGCAAGTACTGTGTTGCTATTTAATATATTGTGTGTAAGTTGTGTGTGTACATGTGTCAATTTTATGTCATGTTGATGCATTGCATAGGATGTGATCTGTGCCTTTGTATCACTTGTTCTTCAAATGAAGACCTTGCTAGCTTACCAGTGAGTATGTGTATTGAATGTGACCACAATGTGTGGCTTTAGGTAGTTAGACGCATATAATTAGTATTTTGTAAATTTTGATTTAAAGCTTTCGTGACTGCAGGGATTCATATTCTTGGTTCTTTCGGTAAAGTCACGTAGAAGGGAAACAAAAAAATAATAAAAATATAAAATAATAAAATTATCACGACGTTTCGACTGCAACACAAGCAATCATCATCACAGCTGATGATCACATCCTATACAATGCATCAACATGACATAAAATTAACACATGTACACACACAACTTACACACAATATATTAAATAACAACACAGTACCTGCATTTAGGAAAATAGGCAAGTGAAAACAAGCAATCATCACACCTGATGATGATTGCTTGTGTTGCAGTCGAAACGTCGTGATAATTGTATTGTTTTATATTTTTATTATTTTATTGTTTCCCTTCTACGTGACTTTACCGAAAGAACCAAGAATATGAATCCCTGCAGTCACGAAAGCTTTAAATAGAAAAATAAAATTCCTAAAGGTTAAATGGACTTTTGTAAAACCATAGCACTTTAAATGAAATGGTAACGAACTCTTCCGGAAACATACCGAGGCCGTCTGACAAGTTGTACGTGTTCCAATGAGAAAGAAGACTTTAAAGTCAAGGTAAAGTGTGCCACTATATCACTCATCGTGATGTCAGTGCATTGCGAGGTGCGAAGCATTTCATGTATTTGAAAAATGCTGTCATAAGTATTGAACACTTAAAAACAAACTGGTTTGCACTTAATAAAGTTCAGTGTTATATCTTGAGTTGTGTTCAGTGTATTATTGGGAGTGTTTTAAAATGGTGTTGTCTCGCTGATCCTCAGTTTGCACACTTGAACAAATGCTTCGTAAGTTTTGAATACTTTCTCATATCAAACACGGACACATTTTCCCATGAAACACATCAGAAATGATACGTATAATGAAATCATGCTACAGTCTAAGCGTATAGTTCAAAAGTACATACCATTACACAACAAGCCTTAATTACAATCTCTCACATTAAGGTAGTGTGTATATAAATTTCGATTTAAAGCTTTCGTGACTGCAATGATTCATCTTCTTTGGTTCTTTCGGTAAAGTCACGTAGAATGAGAATAAAATAATAAATTGATAAAATAAAATAACACAATAATATTCTCACGACGTTTCGGCCACAACACAAGCGGCCTTCATCAGGTGAAGGGGCGAGACTGTCTTTACCGAAAGAACCAAAGTAGTGTGTATATATTTCATTAGGGGGGAGTGGTGGCACAGAAGTTAGCGCACTGCATTATGAACCCAGTTATTGAACTTCAATTCCTCGCATCAGTGGCGAGTGATATGTGAACTGGTCCTGGCACCTTCTGCACACACTTGCACTGACCATCTTGGTGAAGTATGGTCAAACAATCCCCAAGAAAGACTTGGCATGAGGAGGCCTTTCATCCCGTCGTGGTTTGACAAACGGATGTTTCATAATTATTTTATAAACTGTATTTTTTATGAATGTGCAGATATCGTATCACTCACTGTATTTAAAAATGCTGTCTATATTGAGCCATTTGTCCTCGTAAACTAATCAAGGTTAGTTTGCCTCATTCACATTCACACATACATGTCGTATAGATACAGAGTATACTGTGGAGTCAAATGCCTGTGATTTAAACTAGTGAAATATAACCTTACAAGGATTTATGTTTTAATTCCCAATCGGGTGTAACATTTTTGAATTATCATGTCCGTGCTTGGTCACAATATTCTCATCTGCTCTTCTTTTAATACCTGCCAAACAAAGCACAGTAATAATTTCCTTCTTAAATTTCGGTGGCGCATTTTATATAATATTCAAAAAAATCTAGTTAAAATATGTGACGGGAGTAAAGATACGTTATTACTTTTATTGGGGATCTCACGTGCAATTTGATATTGTTTACAAGGTTCTGAACATTTTATTGCATCACAGTTGCCTCTGGCATGTTGGGCATATGACTAATGTAGAGATGGCTTTAAAGCTCAACCCTAAATATACAAAGTGAATTCAACAGGTGTCAGCCATCTGTTCCGACTTTAGTTGAAGGGGCTCATCTGTTTTTTTCTTTCTACTCCCGAAATTTAATTATCAGAAGATTAGAGCACGTATCTCACGAGTGTGGTTTTTGTTTCGTTTATTTTCTCAACCAAAACATGACCGCAGGTAGGTTATGTGGGCGAGAGTCAAGGTAACACGGCTGAAGCCGTTGCAATGAAAAAAAAGCGAATTAATAATTAGCATGAACATTTAACGGTGAGTTCATACTTCCGTGACAGGCATACACACGAAAACATATGTTGGACGGGGAAAATGCAGGCTAAGTCAAAGTTGCCAACGTGTGAACAAAGTATGAGCCTGTTAATACTCAATATCATATGTTTACAACGTGATATCCATTATTTGTATGCATCTATGATATAATATATGGCTAATAGCATGTGATTTTGTTTTGAATTCTCACGCATCATTTACACAACAGAAGCCACTAAATGGTGTGCAAGTAAAATAGAAAAATGAACATAGACCATATATTTTGTAACAATACATGCTTATTCGTTTCAACGCTGCTCGTTAATAAAAAACCTGCTCCCATTGAGCATATATAAACTTTGTTACTATATACTACAAACTTCATCACGGAAATTACATTAAAAAATTGCTGTGAGCTAAATGAAACTTTATATGCACGCTATGATATATTAGTAATATTTAATGGAACACATCCAGGAATACGTCCACCGAGGAGATAGAGTGGTTGAAATGAGCTCATGTGCAGGTGCTAGGTCACGGAGATGATTACATTTCAGGATCATGAGAGATATCAGTAGCTTGCGATGACCTTTAGCCAGCAGTGGATTCACCGTGGCTCATTATGTTCAAACAATTGTCCCAATAATATTTACGGTCAAACTTGTCCCTCTAACACAACTTTATTTATATTGTAGCCAGGAGCATTTTTTTTTGCTCCCAAACTAAATAAATCCAATGAGGCTTTAAACAATATTTAAATATTCACAGAGAGCTCTTATGCTCTGTATATGGTGGCATGAACATTTTAAGAATAATATCTCACACATTTTCATAAAGGTCTGAATCAAATGTTGGCAGAACGGTTGGTTCCACCAGTATTTGGCAGAAACTTGTGCAACACATTGCTATTTTTTTGCCAATTTCCCCGTTTTTTTTCTTTTAAAAAGCCAGTGGAAACTACCCTTCTGCCAATAATTAACAGTCATTGCATCTTAAACACTAATTTGTGCTTTCCTGTATGCACTGTAGACTAATTGTTATTTAGTCAGTCACCATGCCCATGTTTAAAAATATTTTTGTTAAGTGGTATGATGGTCATATGTGATGCGGAGATCTCCAAAGTTACAGATACCCATTTGGTGTTCTACATTTTGTCCTGATGGATGAGACATCTGCAAACTGCGAGCCGAGATGAGACTCACTTATTTAATCCCCACGTGAACTCTGGTAGCACAACACGTGATGTGTTTTTTTGGGTTATTCTCCGTCAGGTGAAAGTGACAGCCGATGTGTGGTGAGGGCGCATATTTGAATAAAACTGCTCATGCGGGCTGGGATGTCAGATGTTTGTGGCAGACATCATTGAACCTTATTGGTTCAATAGTTTCCATACATGTTACACTCAATCAAAAACCACTCAAGCGCAAAAAAATATTCATCCAAGGTAGCCACTCTAACATGCAACAAAAGTTTGTATTCAAATTGCAAAAACCCTTGCATTTCTCAAATATCAAGCAAAATTTTAAAACATAACATGCACCTCATTGTGATGTTTACTGTTTCATGGTTGAATTAAGTCCCCAATGTTTAATATGATTGTGTTGTTTGTGCATTTTTCCATATTAAAGAGTGCCTAGGGCTTGAGCCAGTTACTTTGTGTTTCAGAAAGAACAAAAATCTAAATTCATATTGCAGTATGTATATTGCATTTACGATGTTAATTTTAATAGTGAACGCATGCCGCATATCACAATAATGATCAAAACTCAAATAGAATACAGTATACACTCGCACACTTAATTGAGTTAGCTTGTATATTACCAGATACATTATGAACAAATTGGGCTAGAATGGTGGCACTAGCGTTAGCGCAGGCACTGAGGCCAGCGACCTTAGTTGGACATTGGTGGCAAACAATATCTGAACCAGTTCTGGGCCTCCACATCCACAAATCTGCACTGACCAGCGTGGTGAAGTATGGTCAAACAATCCCCATAACTGAAAGGCATACGCGGCTTTCCACCAGCACAAGATTGACAAAGATCTATAAATTGTTATTATGCATGAATAAATTACAATTCTGGAGCGTAATAATAATTACAAACTCTGAATAGAAATAGACATATTTGGCTATAAGCAAAATAAAAATAAATCAGTATTTGATTACATTATAAATGTTCCTTTCTAAATAATACCCCTATTTATTAAATGCATTGCAATAACAATAAAACAGTTATAATAGATGTATGAACAAAAATGTGTTCTAAAGTATGAAACGTAAAAATACAATTACTAATCTAGTTAGCCAAAAATAAGACATTGCAGATCAAGCTTTCTGAAATAAAATGACATTAAACAAAAAATACCTGTCACAGCATCTGTTGGTAGTGTGAGTCTCTTAAATCAACCCATTAGTTTGACAAAGCGGAGAGTCCGTGTTTGCACAGCTGCGCTCACGACGGCCAATCACAACAAAGACAGTTACCACCTCGTGTCCAATAGCAGCGGGGGAGCCTCTGTGCTGTCTCGGTAAAGGGGAAAAAGGGGGCCCAGCGGGCCTGTAGGGAAGAGTACGTAGCGTAGCGGTGTGCCTACGTGTGGGCCCAGCGTGTGAGCGTTTGTTTTTACTTCTGCCCAATGCCAAGGGACCTGCGATGTCTTCCCTCGGGACTCGCCCCCACCCCCCTACCTCCCCCCCCCACACACCTTTCACTCGCCCTTTCGATTCCAGCATTCAGTTTCAGGCTTATAAGCGCTGATGGACACGTCAATGTTTTAGCGCAAATGGGGAATACGCGTGGCTTTTTAAAGCAACGTTTCAGATCATTCTTGATTTGAAGCTTTCGTGACTGCCGGAATCCATACTCTTTGGTTCTTTCGGTAAAGTCACGTAGGTAGAAAACATAATAACAATAAATCACGACGTTTCGATCGCAACACAAGCGGTCGTCCTCAGGCGGAAAAAATAATCCAGCAGTGGAAGTAATGAACCAGCGAGAGAGCTGTTACAACACGGTTATATATGTGGCGATGGGTTGCCTCCTTTTTATTATTATTACACGCTTTTATTTAACTCACTCTGTTGTTGTTGTCGTATCCGCAAATCTTGTAACTCAATTTGTACCCACTTCCCAATGTGCTATCGACTGCAAACTTGGTATACTTATGTCATACTGATGACAATACTATATTCTATAATTAAAAATAAAATAATATTTTTAAACATTATTTTTTATACGTTATGTTTCGGCTTGGGTATAATTGTCCACGCTCAACTGACGTTGGCTGTAAATGACCACGGTCCCCTTACGTTGTGGTAAGCTTCGGGGCCACTTCCTGGAGTCGTGGAGTTTTGCCATTACGAGTACGGTACATTTCATTAAAGCGTGTTTTTAAAAAAAAGTATTTTTTTAAATATTACTTATTTCCTCGTGGTCGCGTGGATTTTTCTCCTGGTCCTTCGGTTTTTCCCTCCAAATTTAT